ATATGGGAATCGCCCTTAATTTTCGGCATGTATATTAACAAAGAAATTGGTTGCCTATTTAAATTCACAACTCCAAAATCCGGCATCTTTCTTACACAAACTCACAATTGACCCTGATGGAGACCTCGGAATCTATCTCCACTCCTTCCGTAGCCATCGTCATCACTCCTCCAATAAAAACCATCTCTCCACCACCAACAACCACCCTTTCGCCACCACCACCATCTTCACCCGAGTTCCTTGACTTACTCAGATGTAATCATCAAAATCTTTGGAACTGTTTCAGAAGAAAAATGAAAAGGTATATTGGGTGTTTCAAATCGGAAGATTCGAGTTCTTTGGAGATTAAGGGGGAATTCAAGAACGATAGATTTACAGGGGTGAATAGCACAAGTACAACAATCCCATCGCCGAATTATTATAGCCACATGAATAATGAAGAACGTGATGAGAAGCTTAAATCTGCCATTGTTTACTGTAAACAATCAACTAACTAACATCAAGGTTTTCTTTTATGTTGGAGTTACGTGTTTAAAGTCATTTATTTGTATATAAAACTTGCTTCGATAAATGGGTGAGAAAAGGCTCGCCATCTTTGATGTTATTTCTTTTGGTATTTAAAGTTTTAGAGTTTCTTTGAGGGCAATAAATAATAATGTATTTTTAGTGATTTGTTTATTATAACATTCTATTATAATTTTCCTTGGCATTATAATTTGAAAATCCAATAGCAACATCATTTAAATACAAAGCACTTTACATTCCTATAATCGAATGGATTTTTCAAAATATAAATCGTACTAAAAATAAAAATGTTTGAGTTGAATAGTTTTGTAAAGTACAATGTCTTAGAAAAATGAAAGAAAAATAGTGTTTTATAATACACAAATGAATGAAAATATATTGATATTTCTTGTATTTGGACTTTTTCTGAATTCAAATGTTCGCAATGGTACTTATAGTATATCAGTAGTGCTCCATATGAAAATTGTGGTGTCTTGCTTTGGAAGCCTTATACAAAAAATAAAAACGAGCCCTTGAATATAATTTTTTATATATATATATATATAAGCAAAAATCATTGATGACTCGATAATTTTTATAAAATTAATCAAAACAAACAATGTCGTTCATCTGTCATTAATCCATCACTAATCCGTCGCTAATACTAATGTATGTAAAAAAAATTATGGTCCTCTAACAGGGGCGTAGGTACTAAGGGTGAAGGTAGGTCCTAGGACGTATTTTTTTTTTATTCATACATGAAGTATTTATAATAAAAAGGACCCACCTTATTTTTTATAAAAGACCTACCTTTGACATCGTGACATCGTCCTATATCAGAAGTCCATATCTTTTTTTTTATATCAGAAGCCCAATCAATTGATCAATTATTTTATTTTTTTTTAAAAAAAAAGAGAAATAGAAATAAGAAACGGAAAAGACGCAGACTCCCTGCGTTTGGAAATTGGAATCGATCATTCATCATCGTGACGTCGTCCCTGACTCCCTGCGTGCTCGGTCGTCCGGCGTCCGGCAAGGTCGTCGTCGTCCTCGTCTGCCCGTCAGGTGGTAGCAGCCTATCGGCAATTTTTGATCGGCCATCACTTCATCGATCAACACTCAGGTTTGTAACTTACAGGTTACAAGTGTTACAACTTACATTACAATTTCAGAATTCTTTGCTTTTTGTTGTTCAAAATCAAAACCCTTTGTTTGATTAATGATTGTATATTTGTATGATTTCATGATTTACAACACATTATCACTGAATCACTGATCAGATTTCAGAATTCTTAATTTGTTTTTGTTAAGTGTTAACAGTTTTGAGAATTCTTGATGTTAAGTGTTAATAGATTTCAGATTTTCAGAGTTGTTATTGTCTATTTGATATAAAAACATTGTTTGTTCAACTGCTATTGTCTTGATTTTTATGTTATATTGTTATTGTCTTGATTTTGTGATTAGTCTATTACTCTATTTGATAACAAAAGATTGATAATGGTTATTAGTTTGATACTTTTTATAACATTCAATTTCATAATTCAATTACAGAATAAAGCATCAACATTCAAGAATGTCTTTGCATAAGTTTTATAAAAAGAAAGAAGATGGTTATAGTTTAGTGTCGTATATTGAAAAAAATGTTTTAAAAGGCATCGGTAATGACACAATTGTGAAAATGTTTCAAGATATAAGACTTCGTAGGGTTCAATTGTAATAACTTTATTATAACTATTGAATTGATGTTTAAATATTTTAGGCATGCAACCCGACCCGCCACCACTAGTATTCTTTAATCTTTCATATTTTTTCAATTTTATTTACATAAGGAACCACGTGGTTTTTTAGTTCTAGATTCGCCACTGTCCTCTAAACAACACGGGCTCTGTGCCGTAAAACCCCCCACACACACCCAGGCTCTGACCTGTTTTTTCCTTTTTACTAATTTATATAAATTTAGATTATTCGAGTCGAACAATCAAGAAACAAATCGATAATACATTTCATCTCGTTGAATAAGAAACACCATTTTTTAACAGTATGAGTATAAGAAACACCATTTGATTTTTTAAACCATCTCGCCATCATCAGGAATGTGCAAGTGTTGGTTCTTGTTGATCAAATTAAGGAACCAAAAGTCCAAAACACTTGTGCAATGTTATTCTAAAACCGCATCCAACCTAATAACCATTGTATCTTCATTTTTACAAGCAACTACTTATTTATATTTCTTTACCCATAGGCATAAAATCTTACCTTAGAATATCGATATAACTAAATATATTTTCAGATAATAACGTGTATTTAAATACAACATTTTGCTTTTTCTATCATTATTAGGAACTACTAAAATAACAAGCGGGGTAAAAAGAACTATTTATTGGATATATTTTAAGGGGTGTTTGGGATTGCTTATTTAAAATTGTATATTAATTTATCTCTGTTAAAAATGAGTTTTAAATAAAAGTGTTTAGATTTAGCTTATTTGGTATCAAAACGAAAGAAGTTGATAAGTTATTTTTAGTTTTTGCCAACTCTTATTTTACATGTAATAATTAAACAACTTATTAAAAACTCCTTAAACAAGTTAATAAGTACCTAGAAAATGACTTATCAAAAACTCATTATTTAAATCAATAAGTGTTTATGAAGTCTTTTTATCCAAACACCAAAAACTCTTTATTACAGCCATCATACCGAAATAAATTAATAAACTTTGAAGTAATTTCAAACACCCCGTAAGTCATTTAATTTTATAAGTACAAACGAACAAGAAAATTGGTCGAATCTGTTTGACAATAACTAAATTTCAAGAAAATAGCAGTCAGAAAGAGTTGAAATCTAACACATGATATTTGTAGCGGTAAATATCATTAACTGAATGTAACTATTTCACGTTAGTGTTATATATTTTCCAACTTTTTCAGGTTATGGATAATTTATCTCGCTGAACCATTCAACTTAAATATTAAATTTTGAGGTTATAACTAATGCATACCAAAGAGCTTCTAGTCCAGCGGTATCCGATGTTGCTCTCCCTCCTTGAGATTGAGGGTTCAAGTCCCGTCGTGGACATAAGTATATTTAAGGAGTAGTTTAAAAGTAGATTTGATTTGCCGTTTCAAAAAAAAAACAAATAAATCATTTTTATTCAAAATGGGAGATATTCTTCCATTTCAAAAAATTAATCCAACCATGTAAGATACAAAAAAAACAAACATAAATAATTAAACATAAATATGTAAAAAAAATTATTCCAACATGTACTAAAATATGTAAAAAAAATTAACTTTTATGTGTATAAAATAACAAACATAAATAATTAAACATGTACAAGATAAAACGTATTACCTTTATAAATCATTAGGATATACTTAATTTATCACGATTTAATTTTTATATTTAGAAAATATTATTAAAAGAAAATGTACTTTAT